GGGTTTCATGGCTGAGCTGAGAATCGAACCCTGGTCTCCAGAGTTGTAATCCACCACTCAAACCACTATGCCACTCTATTTTGTCAGGAGCATCCAAACTCAATCCCAACTACACTAGACCTGTTCAGTCAGTGGCATAAATCTTATTATTACACTTGCATAAATATTATTTTCAATGGGTTTGAACTAGGAATTGGATTTAGGCTGCTGATGACAATTCAGGCTGGCCAAGCTGGACTGGGGGATTCTGGAAATTGCAGTCCAAAAAAGAAAGGCACTTTTCCAAACTCTGGGCTCCATCCAAGGTTGCTTCTTCCCTGCCATGGTTTCTTTAGTCTCTTGTTCAGAGTCCCGGAGTTTCTCTTACCAGAAGCAGGGAACGATGGAAGAAAAGTGCCATCAACTGGATCAGGTCGTACTTGATGTAGTTGTCTGTTTTCTCCACGCCAAGGATGCGCGGCGGGAAAAAGGCCTTCGCTTCATTGCGCACCAAGATGCTGTAGCTGTTCCAAGGGAAGAAGCCGAACTGGAAGAGATACTTGACCACCACCATCACCTGCGGAAGGAAAAATGGCAAGAAGTCATAAATTATGATTTGCAGAATTATGCAGAAAGCCAGCCCCCAATGCATTAAGATACACACAAATGCAAACTGTAATGACAAAGAAACCCCAAATAATTAAAAATATACTATTCTACCATTACAGACCCAACTAAATCCATGTTTAGTTTACTAATTTATTGCTAAATGCTTTTCAAATTTTTATCTTACATATATTGTTGTAGCTGTACCAATAGCCTGCCCCATCCACTGGGGTTCAGTTCTGGAAACACTCCCTGCAAATATCAAGAACCTCGAGTCCCATTATCCTCAATGGATGCCAATGTGCATGCGCCACCATTGATGCTAATGGACTGGTGCCATCCATGGATGCTCCAATCTGCGGATGGCACAGGCCAATGGTATTGTTTTGATGTTTAGACACGTAAACTACTTTAGGTCCCACATGGATGGAAAGTGGGATATAAATTAAACTTTTAAAAAGTTAGATGCTAAAGATTTTGCCTTCCCCACCCAATCCCCCTCTGTTCACCTCTGTGTAGACGATGGCCGTCATCCAGAAACGCTTGCTGGGCCGCGGGATGGACAGCATGGCCCAAAGGAAGACCAGAATGGGCAGGACCACTGAGATGACCGAGGCCGTCACCATGTTGTTGAGGATGATGATGAAGTAGCACAGGAGGTCCGAATGGGCCGCCACAAAATGGTAGCAGGCCAGCAGCAGCTGCACAAAGCGGTTCCGGGAATGGTAGAACTGCTCCGATTCATCAAGCTCTTCGAAGGAGATGTGCCTAAGAGGGAAGAGAAGAAGGATTAAAGAAAGGAGATCAGGTGGAGATGTGTCAGAGGTGGAAATACAGGTTGAGTCTCCCTTGTCTGAAATACATGGGACCAGAAGTGTTTAGGATTTTGGAGTTTTTTGGACCCTGGAATAATTGGATCTTGGAATACTTGCATATACAGTTGGCTCTCTGTATCCAAAGCAAACCTTGGTTTTGCCATTTTATATAAGGAGCACCATTTTACTTGGCCATTGTTTTTAATGGTACTTGAACATCCATGGATTTTGGTATCCACAGAGGGTCCCAGAACCAAATTTCAGTGGATACCAAGGGCCCACACTGTATATAACAAGATATCTTGGAGATGGGACCCAAATTTAAACACAGAAATTCATTTGTGTTTCGTATACACCTCATACACATAGCCCGAAGGTAATTTTGTACACCATCTTTTGAATAATTGTGTGCATGAAACTTAAAAGTTGGCGTAGACTGAACCAACAGAAAGCAAAGGTGTCACTTTCTCAGCCCCCCATGTGGACAATTTTGGAGTAGTTTGGATTTGGGAATTCTGGATAAGGGAGACTCAACTTGTACCATTAATGATCGAACTTTAAAAATAATACCTAGAAAAGTGTGGGAGGAGAAAGAGGAAAGAAGGTAAATGAGTGGAAGCAAAAGAAAAGAGTACATAGAATATGAACATAGGCTAGACAGACCCATGGCTGTAAGCTGGCCATAATACCAAAAGTTTTCAATTTCTGCTTCTATATGTCCCAGCTAGTAGGGCCATTGGTTGCAAAATCTAGAAGCTAAAGTCCAACAACATCTGGAGGATCAAAGGTTCAAGGAACACGGCAGAACTTGTCT